CCACCACTAATAACACTCGCTGTGTTCACCACCACTAGTAACACTCGCTGTGTTCACTACCACTAGTAACACTCACCGTGTTCACCACACCAGTAACACTCACTGCGTCACCACCACCAGTAACACTCACTGCGTCGCCACCACTAATAACACTCGCTGTGTTCACCACCACTAATAACACTCGCTGTGTTCACCACCACTAATAACACTCACTGCGTTCACCACCACCAGTAACACTCACCGTGTTCACCACACCAGTAACACTCACTGCGTCACCACCGCCAGTAACGCTCACTGCGTTCACCACCACCAGTAACACTCACTGCGTTCACCACCACCAGTAACAATCACCGTGTTCACCACACCAGTAACACTCACTGCGTCACCACCGCCAGTAACACTCACTGCGTTCACCACCACCAGTAACACTCACTGTGTTCACCACCACTAATAACACTCACTATCACCACCACTAATAACACTCACTATCACCACCACCAGCAACACTCGCTGTGTTCACCACCACTAATAACACTCACTATCACCACCACTAATAACACTCACTATCACCACCACTAATAACACTCACTATCACCACCACTAATAACACTCACTATCACCACCACCAGTAACACTCGCTGTGTTCACCACCACCAATAACACTCACCGTGTTCACCACCACTAGTAACACTCGCTGTGTTCACCACCACTAATAACACTCACTATCACCACCACCACTAATAACACTCACCGTGTTCACCACCACTAGTAACACTCGCCGTGTTCACCACCACTAATAACACTCGCTGTGTTCAGGTGTTCAGTAGTCGCGGTCACTGGGAGATCTCGTCAGCGGTGAGCACGCAACACCTGGTGGCGGTGGTGGCGCTGGCCAACACCCTGCAGCACCGCAACGCCGCCACCCTACACCCCTTCAGGGAGAGAAGCCGACGCCTGCACCTGTAAGACTTCAATTAACTTACTTATTGATTCGCAATTGAATTGAATATCACACATTACCCTGCCTTCATTGAACTTCAATAGTCTTTCAGAATTAAATGGAATTTATTTAGTATCATACATGGCCCCGCCCACATTTAACTTCCTTTTGCTTTCACAATTAAATTGGATTTATTTATATTTATATACAGACGAGCCTGCCTTCATTTAATTCCGTATTATTCACTATTAAATGGGATTTATTTAAGTATCAAAAACGACCCTGCTTTCATTAAACTTTCATATTAATTGTAAATTTGATGGAATTTCTGAGGATGCTATGGCCCACAGTTTGAGGATATTTTCTCTAGAATGAGCAAAAATGATGGTTGCCAGTCACGTCCTGGTGTCAGTAAAAGAATATCTCGATGTAGCTCAGTGAAGCGTGAGCCTAGTCTGAGACTCTAAACATATATTCGTTTTAAATAAATTTGAAATTTCCTGTGCCTCTCTGCATCCTCGGCGGCCGCTCACATTTTGCGGTGTTTTCTGAGCTTAACGAGAAACATCGTTGTTTCGACTTATCGTTAACCAAAAATCAAATTCAATTCCCACTTTTCTCAACTCTGTTTTTGTTGTTATGGTGACGAACGGTCGTCGCTCCTATCGTAATGTTTCCCTGCAAGTTACTCAAGTACATGCTGAGTATAAGCGTTATATCAATTATTAGTCTAGGTTTATTATGGCCATGCTTAGTGTCATACATAATAGTGAGGTAGTGAGACATAGGAAGGAATTATTTGATGCTTTCGATTCAAGTAACTGTGAAATTTGTCAACCTAAGGAGACTTGATTTTAAATATGCTGGTCCCTTGCATGGTATAGCGTACTGATATATCAAAATTGGAAATATTCCTGCGCCGGGTATACTTGATTTTAAATATGCTGGTCTCTCGCACGGTACTATTGTGTATACTGATATATTGCATATATTGGAAATATTCCTGCGCAGGGTAGACTTTACTTTTAATATGCTGGTCTTTTGCATGGTATCGCGTACTGATATATTGATAATATTCCTGCGCAGAGTGACAGCAAAGAACATGAGTGTGAGTGCAGAGCAGGACGCAGCGTTTCGGCAGGATCAGAGCAGGATCAAGCAGGGCTGGTCCACCCTGACCGCCCTGCACTCGGTGCTGCTGCCTGACGCCGTCCACAGGGCGGGTGCTGACGCCTACAAGCCGCCCCTCCTCGAGGTCCTCGCGCGCCGCTGGCAGAGTCGCTGTCAAGAGGTCAGCTTTAACTCCTTATTCCTATTTACAATTTCTTCCATATCATTATTTACAATTTCCTCCTAATCTCTATTTACAATTTCCTCCTAATCCGTATTTCCAATTTCCTCCTAATCCTTATTTCCGATTTCCTCCTAGTCCATATTTCCGATTTCCTCCTAATCCATATTTCCGATTTCCTCCTAATTCCTTTTTACAATTTCCTACTTATCCCAATTTCCTCCTAATCGCAATTCCCTTGTGTCATTGCTACACGCAACAGCATTGGGCGAGGCTCATTTTCGTCCTTCATACAAAAATTTATTCAAGACATTTTTCACCTTAACTGAGTAGCGATCAAATTGAACATGCATGTTGCCAACAAAATGGATTTCGTAAGGTAAATTAATTTTTTTAACACGACAACCGTGACACACAGTAAAGCAATACAATCGCGTATCTGGAGCGATTGATATTATAGTGGCGAAGCTCGAGTGTCGCTAAATTTTCTAGTCTAGAAATTTTCATCGGAATCTGAAGATGAAACTCCATCGACTGTCAGTCGCCTGAATTGCTACTGCAAAACTTATAGCCTGATTGGGACCGGAACTTTTATACCGCTTTTAGGTAGCTTTTACCTTAATGAGCTAGATCATCAGAGTCCAAATTATATTCTTTGTGACTGATTTTGCGACGTTATTAATTTCTTTATAAGAAGTAAGATTGTAAATTCTTAATTGATGTTTTTAATTACGTGAGAAATGATATTCTCAATGACAGTGTTGAGATGAATTGATCCATCTAACATTGATTAATGCACGTATTATGTATGGTTCAGATCCGGGACGCGGCGCAGGTGCTGCTGCAGACGGAGCTGGTGCGGATAGGCAGGACGGGGCGCCAGAGGGTCATAGACGAGTGGTTCCCTCACCTCCCCTCACTCACCGAAACCCAGCACGGCGCCCCCGCCAACCCTGCCGCCCCCTCAGCGCCCACCGCTACCGCCACACCCATGGTCAATATATACGGCAACTACAAGTGCCGTCGAAATACATTATGTGTTATCAAAATACGTTAATCAGCCACAAACATGCATTAACCTGCCACCAACATTCATTAATCTGCAATTGCATTATTAATCGTCTTCCAGTGTGGGAGCGAAATGCATCATACGTTGCTCATGAGTCATGCTAACTCTTCTGCCACGCTCGCGGTTGCTCTACAATTCTTTATTAGCTGCCCCTTTACTTCACTTTTAAGCCGTTAGAAAATGAGTATCTTTTTGTAGCTGCATCTGCCACCAGTGACGATTTAAAATATATTTTCCAGTTCTGTACGATGGCCTTTTTGATGGCTTCTGACCTAAGTAATTTCGGTCGCGTATCTCTACCTTGTCAAGCCGGAGGAAAGTACGATGGTATTCTCTCAAAAATTTTTATGGCTGACAACAGTGGAGATTTAATCACGATTATTCAATCGCTAATTATTTCTTTTATTGCCTTTCCAGCTATTTTTTATCCACCGTTTCGCTGAAAAATAACATCGACCATTTTGTGCAGGCTTCCAATAGCCAGCCTATCAACGGCACCGTGAATAACAGCAACAGCGCGGCTAACAGCACCGTAGTCAACAGTAATTCCAACAACAACAGCAACGCTCAAAACAACAGCAACAACCACAGCACCGAGAGACCTCAGCAGACCGACGCTCAGCACATCGTAGAAGATTATCACTTCGATGAAGATCATTTGGAGGGTGCGGGACTTTTAGTTATGATTATTTTATTATTATTTTGATGAACTATTGCAGTTTCAATATCACAGATTATTATAGTGGTTATTGTTGTAATTTAGTAGTTAGTCGAGTACAATTCTTCTGAACCTACCTATATTCAAAGCAGATATAGACTTGCATCGCGAAATTGAATTAAAATGTAATTTAATACCTACCTTTCAGTCTAATCAGTAAACGTAGTATAATAATGAAAGGTTCAGTTTAGTTGCATTAAAAGACTTGTTTAATATAGATTTCGCTGCTCTATCCCATAATAATGTTAGTGCCCACCCTAAATCGACTAATCTATAAAATTTTTTTAAAAATTCTCACTCACAAAAAAAACTTGTATCAGAGCATTCTGCCCATGCAGCCTTCATAGCACAGAGACCACGGGACTCTATTATCAATAATATAATCACTTGTTTCTGGCTGTAATCCTGGTTTAATTTGATGGTGATGTGCACTAACTTTTATGCATTTAGTGAGCCCAGATATACTGTATGTCTGTTGTTATGGACGTCAATACGAGTCGCCTGAACACAAATGTCGCCGGCCTTTAATATAAACGATCTATTCTGGAAAAAATAGTCGGATAAAAAAATTCGAGATCAAACAGGTTCGTAGTTATTAATTTGAAATCAAACCCTACAAATCATACCGCTGACTAGTACGGGTATTGTACTGCATTTACTGTTGAGCGGCGAGTTAAGTGCACTATTTGCTAACTGGCGACTCTTATATCATTGACGGTGCAATGAGTTAGCCCCGATCTTAGTGGCAACCGAGAAATCCTTTAGAAACTAGTTCATTTTTAGTTTCCTGACCTAGTTCAAAATTTTATTCAAAATGTTTTTATATGATAATTCATCATAACCATGATACATTACAGGTTAATTTATGTAAGGAGAGTAAAAAAGTTTTCCCATTTGCCTCCATACTAAGGCTCCAGCCGTAAAGAGCCAAAAAAAATTTACAGGTCTACTTATGTAAGAAGAGTAAAAAAATGTTCTCTTTGCCGCTATACTAAGTCTTTCCTGCCGTAAAAATTAAAAAAAAGTCTCCTGCCGCAGGTCTGACCAGCAGCGGTGGGGGCGAGGGCAGCAGCGGCGCCCACAAGCACAGCCAGCAGGGCGTGGCCATCGTCCTTCTGGCCGTCATCGGCGCCTACCACGGCCACCATCAGGAGGAGGGCTTCAGTCTCGGGTCACCACTCGCGGTCAAAACCAGTGAGTGGTCGGTGCCATCTGGAGGCCAGTGAGTGGACGAAGGGTGCCATCTGGAGGCCAGTGAGTGGACGGTGCCATCTGGAGGCCAGTGAGTGGACGAAAGGTGCCATCTGGAGGCCAGTGAGTGGACGAAGGGTGTCAACTGGAGGCCAGTGAGTGGACGAAGGGTGCCATCTGGAGGCCAGTGAGTGGACGAAGGGTGCCGTCTGGAGGCTAGTGAGTGGACGAGAGGTGCCATCTGGAGGCCGGTGAGTGGACGGTGCCATCTGGAGGCCAGTGAGTGGACGGTGCCATCTGGAGGCCAGTGAGTGGACGAAGGGTGCCGTCTGGAGGCCAGTGAGTGGGCGAGAGGTGCCATCTGGAGGCCAGTGAGTGGACGGTGTCAACTGGAGGCCAGCGAGTGGACGAAGGGTGCCATCTGGAGGCCAGTGAGTGGACGAGAGGTGCCATCTGGAGGCCAGTGAGTGGACGGTGCCATCTGGAGGCCAGTGAGTTGACGAGGGGTGCCATCTGGCGGCTAGTGAGTGGATGAGGAGCGTCATCTCAACGCGCCTCTCTCTCTAATGACATAATTGACCTCAAAATCAAACTAACGTCGAGTTCCTTCAAGTCCGACATTCTCGCTGCGACCGAGGCCATGCCCCACATACGGTACTCCTTTATAACAGCATCGATTCTTCTACTTGTTCTGATTATATTTTATTGAGGGCTTCCAAACTGTACTATTTTACCACAAATACGTCGAATAATTGTAAACACACCAAGTTTATCCTATCCCTTCAAATTTTCACTAACTCAACAAATTTACCTGTAATAGTTATCCTGCTGGCCGACTTAATCTTTTGCTAAAAATTTGAAATTGATGATCGTTTGCTCGGCAGGCAAAGCTCTGTCGCACCTGTTGTTGTCGCCGCCCTCCCCCCGCCTGCCCCTCCACACGCCCCTCCGTCGTGCCGCCATCGACCTCATAGGGCGCGGCTTCCCTGTGTGGGAACCTTACCTGGACGTGGCTAAGGTGAGAATTACCTTGATATGGCTAGGATAACAAGCAGTCCATTGTGCATTCATTCTTTCCCCCCATAACCACTAAATTAGGGCTTATGCTCGTCAAAAATTTAAAGCCTTAAATATTAAGCTTTAAATTCCCCTGAACTACAATCACTTTCTAATCTATATTTTTTGGTATCAAGTTTCAATTTAGTTAAAATAAGTTGGATGCGTGCAGGTTGTGCTGGCGCTGCTGGAGCTGTGCGCGGACACTCACCAGCTCGCGCCCTCCATGAAGTACGGCCTGCCGCTGGTGCCTGAGGCGGACGCCTGCCGTACAGCCAGTCAATCATTGACTCACATCGCTGGGGCGCGGCCCGGAGTGCTCATCACGAGCATGGCCAGGGAGGTCGCGAGGTACAACACCCTCCAGCAGAACGCCCAGAGTCTACAGTTGAACCTGCACCTCACCACTCTGTATCGTGCCAAAACTGAGATACTCAGACTCATGGAGTATCTCATTCAGAACCACAGGGCCAGCATTAACCAGCTTATGGTTGAGGTGGGTATTTGTGTCTTCAAATTTTAATCCATTTGCTAAATCTTGCAAAATCTTGCTAAATCTTGCCAAATCTTGCTAAATCTTGCTAAGTCATGCTAAATCTTGCTAAATAGTGTAGTACAGTCTCATTGTAGTACAGTTCATTTCAATTCTTCATTCTGTGAAGTATATATTTGACCTAATTACTATTGCTACAACGCAGGTGATGGACATTATCCTGCACTGCGTGGATACTGGCCATCTCCGCGGTGGTCGCGGCCTGAACGAGGTGTTCCCTGCGGTGTGCAGCTTCTCGCAGGTGTCGCACTGCCCCAACACCAAGCGTATCGCTACCGGCTCCCACAACGGCACCATTGCCATCTATGACTTGCGCAACTCCAAGTGTCAGGTAGGGCGCAGATAACAAGTGGCAAATAATGGGTTATTAATTAATTAGTTAATAATTATCGCTACTGGCTCCCACAACGGCACCATTGCCATCTATGACTTGCGCAACTCCAAGTGTCAGGTAGGGCGAAGATAACAAGTGGCAAATAATGGATTATTAGTTAATTAGTTAATAATTACCGCTACCGGCTTCTACAACAGCACCATTGCCATCTATGACCTGCGCAACTCCAAGTGTCAGGTACGGTGCAGATAACAAGTGGCAACTGGCAAATAAGAAATTTCAGGGACGTCGAGATAAGTTTTAGGTACGTCGCTGTTAAGTGTCAGGTACGTTGCTTCACGCACTAATTCTCAGATGAGGAATGTCAGATCCGTCGCAACACGTACCGAGTCTCGGGTATGACACACACGGCACCCTGTGTCTTACGAACCAATTTATTTCAAGAAATTAAACGATTCAAGACACAGGTTTCTTTCCATCTCAAGTTTATTTATGTGCTCAGAGTTTGCTCACGCTCGCCACATTTCCAGGTGATCTCGGCTCACTCCGGCGCCGTGACGGCGGTAGCATTTTCGCCAGACGGCAAGCACCTGACCTCATATTCCATGGTGGAGAACAAAATCTCATTCTGGCAAACTTCTACGGGAATTTTCGGTCTTGGTTCATCGCAGACGAAGTGTACAAAATCGTTCAGCACAGTGCCGGTTCCCGACATCGTGCGTCTGAATCCTCAACGATTCCCTAAGCTCGTCTGGATATCGAATAAAACCGTCGTGCTCATGCTATCAGATGGCACTGAGCATAGGTTCAATGCATAAACAAACAGCTTTTTTAATCCATAAATTATTTATTCTCATTAATTGAGGGACTTTTAGCTATGATGAGCAAGAAACGATAGTGTGGTGAACCTCATTTCAAAGTCACTGAAACTTCAAGCTACAAAGAGGTTCGTATGAATAGAAATGGAATGCTGTCATATTATCATTCATGGCTGTGTTATTTTCCCTTCATAGTTTGTTGTGGATTTCATTATAGTCCATTTTACAACACCTTCAACTGCAATGATAGATTTTATGTTGAGTTCACAGACAAAGAACATTCCCCATTTTTTATTTGGAGGCAAGATGGGAATTTGGTTTGACATTACCTCAGATGTAGAACTTGCCTCACTTCTAGTCCTATGCAATTCACATGTCCTAGAAATTTCTGTGGAAATTATTTTTCGCGTCTCAAATAATCCTGTGTTGAATTGATACTTTCAGCACATATCGCATTTTGTATTCTTTCCCATATTATTTTTTTACAATGCACGATAAATATGTGAATTGTTATAAAATCAATGATGTGGAATTATATTCGCACTTTACTGATCAATTGTAACTCGTACATCTGAACGTTTCGCTAAAGCTAAACCGCTTGCTCACATCTTAGGTTAATTTTTTAGCTTATAATTTCTTCAAACTATTTTTTATTTATAAAGTAGCAAACTTCGGAATCAACTTCACAGTGAGTGTGCGTAAACTGACATTTGAACTTGAATCTGGAGCCATTTTATTTACTATGTATCTTATCTACACTCTTGAGTAGTTTCTTATTCTAGTGCCAAAATAGGAAAGTGATCTTCACCTTTTCTTGGTAATTATTTCGCATATTTTAGTCTCTAATTTAATATAATCCTAGTCCTGAATTGATATGTTATGCAAACTTTCAGCTTTCTTTTTTTCTTTTTATTTTCTTGCCAGTTAAAGTCGTTACTGTCTTGTCCATCTTAGCTAGTCTATTATGCAGGTTTTAACGATTTTTTCGAGAGAATGATCCATCACTTCCATTGAAATGGAAGTGAGATCTGTCAGTTGGAGTTGTGTGTCTGGCTCCTCTCACGGATGCGGGTGTTGTGGTGGGTTTAGCATTGTTATGGCGGTAGTGTTAAGGTCTGTAGACCACGCCAACCTGGGCATTTCTGTAGAAAATGGGCAAGAGTGCGGGCATGGGCTTGGTAATGTGAGTTCGGTGGTAATCGTAATACAGCCGCGTCTGCACTTGGCAGATTGGATTGATAAGCGAAACTGCGATTACTAAATTTATGCCGTTGATAATAATGTTGATTTTGTTGTCCAAGTCGTGGGTGTTGAGTCCTTTAAAAGAGTAGGCACTCCACTCAATGAGGGCTAGTTTTACCCTTGCATTAATTTCTTGTATCTACAAAAACAGGTTTGTAATCAACGAGTATGCTAGAACAATGAAAATTACACCCGTATTAATATTCAAGACAAATATATAGGTACTCAGAAAGGCTGTCCCTTCTCCTATTTTATACAGATATTAAAAACTATAATCAGATCCACCCGCAATAATTTTTTATCAAGCGCCGGAGGTGAGTTTGCAGTTGCGCTTTGTTTAATATTTGGTTCAAGAGAAGAGTGTCAGCAGACGTGATGACGAGTATGATGACTTGCTTCGCCTTCATGTGGTAGGATTTTCTTCAGCGATTAACGCAATATATGATTAACTTATCTCTCGAAAGTAAATAGATCTGATCGTTGAATAAGCTGGGTTAATATTTATGAATACCTATAGAGAATTTTTAACCAAAGACATCACGGTATACAAGGTTCCTTAACTTGCCGTCTTTGAGAAAGTCCCAGTGAACTTCATTAACAATTGAAGTCCCAGGGAGCATATTCAATTCTCGATGACTAATAGTCGTTGTCCAAACTTGCGCACTATCCGAATTATAGGCCAGATTGAGACTGACATTGGGCGACAATGTGGAATAATAAACATCATTGTTCCGTATTTAAATTTAACCGACGGATCAACCAACAATTCTGTTAGAAATTATTCTAAGCAAACGGCTACATTTATCCCTATGCTTAGTAATAGTTCAGTTTCGAACTTATTAAACGAGTTTCGCAACCCTATTTCTTTATTCATTGATTGTTGTGTAATGAAACAATCTCTCACTTTTGCATGGATGGAGAAACCTAAGTCGGAGCAATCATTGTAGGTCTCGTCCTTAACCCGTCGCCTTAGTCGAGGCAACAGGAACCTGCATTCCATTCATTCTCGTTCTGCAATTTTCCCTTCATTATCACAACTTTCCTTAATTTAACTTTACTTTCATCGTCGATTGCCTTGATTATTTTGCCAATTGTATTTAATTATCGTGCATTTTAGTGATATTTTACTTGATGTTCACATATCATTGTGATGTTTACGCTGCTTCACGCCGTGAACAGCGCGAGCATTTTGCCCGCATGTCTGCTATCGCGTGTATATTTTACTCCTAAGCTACCTATGAAACTATTGACTTACCTGCATATAAGTCCAACAAAAACACAGTTACAATTTATGTGTATGTGCCCTGTACTTATTTCTATAGACTTGTACGATGTATTGATCTGTATGCATATTTTGATTGGTCAATGTATAATGTATACTCTTGATTTATTATAAAGCATGCATAATTTTGATTTGTTTTATGTTGTATGTGTAATTTTATGACTATCTAAACGTACTCGTTGTTTTTGTTGTTGTTGTAGTTGTCCTCGTTTGATCTTGTCCTGCTAGCCTGAGTTGTACCTGGAAATGTTTTGTTTCAATTTTACCTCTTACGATCTTCTGATGGACAAGAGATTACGGTTATTCAAGCAAATGTATTATTGAAATGTTTATTTGCAATTGATTGTACTTTAATTTGAAACAACATAGCATTCGTGTGCTGGCATATAGCCACCATATTTTTTTACCCGGTGCATGTCAAAGAATTGGTTTGCAAAGGTGCTTGTAGTTTGTGCTGTTGTAACTTGAGAGGCTGGCAAGGTTTATGCATCTCATATTCTTGTCAAAGAGATCTACTGATTTCTGCCTAACTTTATATTCACGTTAGTTATAATTATTTTCAATTACGTTTTGAAAAAAAACATCGTTGATGCTTTGAGACAGGATGACTTTCATTTTCAAGAAATTCCTGCCTGTAATGTAACTTGATAATGTGGATGCTGTAAAAAATCCATGCAGTGAACTGCATATTGCCTGCATTGAAAGGTAGACTCTCATATCTGAGTGTAAAGATTGCGGTGGTCGCGGTATATCCAGATACTTCAACTGCTGTATCGCAATATCCGCCTAATCGTGGGTCATAAGGTGTAGTGTGATTCGTTAAACGTGGTGTGAATATGAATGTCAGGGTCTGCGGGACTTTAATGCGTTCCGATCATTTTTTTACCTCACGATAGTACCCAGAGGATTAAAAGGTAGTTATTTTATTGTAAATACGTATCGTTGGATTGCCGTCTATTTCCCTTTGTAAATTTTCACTTTTTTTGTTGAGCGTTTTATAAATGTTCGAAACGGGTCAAAATCATGATGCTATTTGCAGTTTTTTTAATGGTTACATTGATACGTTAGTTTCTCCGCGATCCGTTGCCAAATTTTCGCTGCAGTGTGCTGCAAAAAATTGTTTCGGTGCCAGGATGCGGTCAGCAACTCGTGTCACAAGAGACCATTTGTTATGGTCATTATAACGATCATTCAAGTCTCGAGGAATGCGTCATTCATGCTATATATTCTGCTTTACGCGACGGTACTTTTCATAAATTACGGAGCAATTTGTAACAAATGAAGACTGGAATACCCAGATCAAGATCCTATTCACGATGTACGATTTCTCTCAGCAAACTGGTAGAAAAATTTAATTCTAACAGCATTTTAAGTGTTTCAATTAAATGAATGTGAGAAAATGGAAAGTGGTTCCTGTGATCAATTTAAAATCGACCGTTAATTGGACAATTACATGTTTCGCTTTAATATCTTTTTCAAGTCGTTCTGAATTGGCGATAATCTAAATTAATTTCGAACGATGCTCCTGGCTTAAAAGATCTTACCTAGGTTAAAATTGAAGCGTTCCCGTATCAGAGTTTTTCTGGCGTCTGGTGATCTAGTCTTCCGCACATCCCAGTGCTTTGACGCTATTTTCTAATCTGGTAAACATTTCATTGAATTTTTATACTGCCTGATGACTTTTGCAAATATTACGATAGGAAAAAAGAAAAACATTTTCTGATGATTACATTTTTATCTATGATGAAAATCCGAGTTGATTCTTGCAATTCGCGGGTAATTACGAAACATGAATATAAACGTAAAGATGGTTATTTTCACCGCGATTAATTTCATTTCTGTGTCTAGACTGTGAGCACACATCGAACATTAATCGTGCGAACATTGCGCTTTTCGTCACGTACGCATATGTTTATACACTCACACATTGCTGACGAGTTGACAGATCATTAATTGTCTATCTTTAAAGTGTTTTAATATTCTGTCCATTTCTGTGTTGTGTTAAATCTTCCTGTAATTTCAGCATGCAAGTAAATTTAGCGATGAGTGCGCGAGTCTATGTATGCCGTTGCAAAGGCCTGTGATCAGAAGAGAACGAACGAGTTGCAGTAGTGAAGGAACTTGAGAGTTTCTCTTGTTACATGGTCCTATAAGATAATTATAATATAGTTATACTAGTTAGTGGTGTTGTTGTGAGTCGTCCAAAGGTTGGTAGTTGTAGTTTGTGTTGCATAGAAAACCTCTTTCTCCACTATCTTTATTCACCATAGAAACCTCACCTTTCCACCCGTGGATACTGGGACAGATGTTCACAATTGTGGTCGAAGCTTATCAATAATCTTAGAAGAGTGCGTACTTAGATACGCATCTGCTGTTGATGTTATAATATTCAAAAATGTTTCCCTTTCTAAATAAAAATAGTGATGCGACTATGAATCTATGTGAAGTTCTTTGTAATTCCAATATTTCTTGCCCACAGTTTCGTAGCGCAAGGTGAAGAAACGTGACCGTTGTTCCGTAAACGTGTATATCTTGGAGTATTGAGCAAGTTTAATCTTTATTCTATCTTTATAGTTTGCACAAATTCTTTGCAGCGTTGAATTTCTCGTTCATTAGAAGGCATTTCCTGGCCTTGCTGTAGATGAAGGCGTTGCAAGCTGCAACATTCATGTAGAAATGTTTCTTCTATAATTACAGTATGCAAGACACTTAGTAATATAACACATTAATTGCAGTGTGAATTATTATAACCAATGAATTCCAACCTCACCGCTCGAATATTTTACTCCGACGTTCGAGATTACTATCTCTACTCCCATGTCAGCGGGATACACGCGGAACTATTCTTACCTACGTGAGCAGCATGTGCGTGGAACTATCTACCCATACGTGAGTAGCAGGCACATATAGCAAACAACCAAGTGAGCAACATACTCGTGGAACAATTCTTTCCTACGTGAGCAACAGGCACTGTACTTCAGTCCACTATACTTCAGCGGTAGCGGCACCGAGATGAGAGGAGTTTGCTCTGGGTGCGATCCTTGGCAAGCTCAGTTCTATGCTCGTCGCTAGTGGACGGTTCTTGGCCGTCAAAGGTGATGCTTTCAGCATGGCTTTAATTAAGAAGGTGTCAATAAACGGACTCAAGGTACCTGTGTGCTGGGAGGCCTTAAAGTGGAACGGTGTCTTCTTAAGCAGCCTAACTCAAGTCGGCAGCTCTAATTCTTTCAGCTTACGATGTCTATTGAAATGAGTGTCGACCTCATATTAGTTGTAATGTTGCACGATTTCAGCAGTGAGCGATAGGAGCGACATTATTTGCTTGTGATAAGCCTTGACGAAAAACGACCAGCATCGAAGCTGATCGGTATAGCGCGGAGCTCCATTAGCAAATATCTCAATTAATATAACATTATTTTGCGTTCTGTTTCACGTTTCGATCAATTCTACTGCCCGTTACAAATCGTGGCAGGAATCGTCGACAGTATTAACACATAGTTTTCTATGTGTGTTACTAAACGCGCTATCAATTCTGAGTAAACTGGCGAAATTTTTCCTCAGTCTGACTTGGGGCCAGACCCTGTGCATTTTTGTATAGAATAGAATAAAAAAGTGGATTCTGGATATGTTTTTATAGGTGGTATTCTGTGTACAGTGTGAAGGATATGAAGCGTACTTGTCTGGCCCGTAATTCTACCGTGATGAAGTACTACCGATTCATGTGAATTATGTAAACAAGATGTGGTCTTGCGCTCTCAAATAACATGATTCATAAAGAGGAATATTAGTTGAATATTGTTTGAAAGACTGTCGTGTATTGAAGCCTCTATCCTCTCATGCTTCCGACTATTTGTCTAGGATCTTAAGACTACTAACGATTTTCACTTCTTTGTCTGTCTGAAGTTTACATCTGTTTTCGTGGAGTCTAACTATAGGTTGTTGTGATCTTCATTGCATTCCTTATTCTTACTAGTAATCTGGACTGAATTATTGGTAACGTGTAATTATTTGCTCCCTAAATATCAGGGGATGGTCTGCCCGATCGATATCGAAACATTACCAATGAATAAGAACGTTAACATTATTAATTGATGAGGAAAGTTTTATTGAGAATCGTCAATGGCTCTACTGTTGAATTTTAATCGGGGTCTAGGGATATGATGTATCATTTGGGGTCCTATACTTCTTGAAAACAAGAATACATATTGTTATATAAATTATATTCTTATTCGCAAAATTAGAATGTTTTAGACGGTTTGTTTAACCACGGCCCAACCCAATTTTTTGTCTCTAAATACCAGACCTTTCAGTATTCCTTAATGAACTTTTGATGATACTGTTAACATCCTAACTTGAAAGTGTGTAGTGAAAATGAGTGTGGATGTGAAACGACAAAAACAATGTCTCCGTCTGTTTATTTCCATGTTAAAAAAGGTTATGAAGTGTTGGTCTTTAAGAAACATATATAAAACAAATCTGTTTCCGCCGAGTTTCATTTCTCTGTTGATTCCGAATAGTTCACGATGAGAAATAATGTCTACACAAATTAGTTAGCGATGATACTACAGCCGCATGAGGTTCATACAGCGTTTCGCTTCTGATCAACATCGATTTGAGATATTGGATAGGAAATTTTTACACTGTGTGAACAATTAATTATTGAGAATCAATTTCACAGTAGAACCGAAACTATCACGGGCATGACCAAAATTAAAAATGTTGAGTAAAAAAGAGCTGCAGCCTTGAAAGAATGTGTGGGTAACAAATATTTTACTTGATATTCGTAGTTTTACATGAAAAGATTAAAGATACGAGTAGCTGAGAACCCTACGAAAAACCGGGAATTTCTCACAGTTATTAGTTGTATATCCTGCCATATGGGCACAGAAGAAGAGAAATAAAACTAAGTATACAAAACATAGCGCACTAATGCCCAACGCATTGCAACCTTCATTAAAAAAAAAGAAGCAATACTTTTTTAACAATGAGAACTAGTAATTTCCTGAAAGGGTTTAGACGTAACACGTTTATGAGAAGATTTTGTTAACTGCGCCTACTCTCCGGGGCATGCTATGTATGTGAGTATGTCCTGTCAATATCCTGTCACTAGCTTAAAATATTGAATTGTTAGCACCATCTTGTCGATTGATCTCAGAATACGCGTAATTCACGCTCATGAACATTTCTCATTAAATAAAATAAAATTGAGTGTAACACCACCTACCTAAATCCACGTTAATTCTTCAACGGCGTTTCTTCTGAACCTCTGAAGTTGTCTTCGCTTCGTTTTCCATTTGTTGGCTAGCCGTTTCAAAGTCTGAAGTTGAGGGAAGCCGTAACTCGAATTAGATCTCAATCTGTTGACCTGCAGAGAATTTGTTCGGTTGTAAGGTCGAAAGTTTTGCTCGGTTGTACGGCCAGGCAGTAGCGGAGGGCCAGGACGAATTCGCTGTTCGTTGTGTGATCGTCGACGATGGATCTTCCCGTGGGCAATGCCGAGGGTAGGCGATATGTCAGTGGTGATATCGGTTGGCTGGAGTATTTCATTGGAGATTATTGAATTGAAATTCGGTCGCTTGGTTACTGCGAACTTAACTGATTCGATGCTTTGATCGCCGCGATCTCCAGTTGCACCATTTGTCAAGGGTGGGGTCGATGAATTGACATTCGGAACTAAGACTGTGGAATAGTTGCCACGTGTTGCATTATGGAAATTTTTGGAACCATGATGCCGTCTGAGACGGCGTCCTTCCTCATTGTAGTCGTAAGCGTAGGAGTAGTCTTCCCCTCCATCATCTACGTCACCGGCTTCATAATAGTACTCGTACTGAGTAGGATCATTATCCGATGCACTGGAACTATTAGCAATAACAAATCCATTCAATGATGATCCCACTCGGCTTTTTGATGTATCATCCACAGGAGGTAGGAATGAATCAGCCTCAAATGGAAGTCCAGCACCAGAACCATCACCACTACCAACTTCATCAAAATCCGAGTCATCTCCGAAGCCTTGGTTGTTCAACCTGCTAGGACTTGCGTCATCCTCTGTAAAGCGTGTGCTTGCACTTCCTCCATTCTGGACAGGGGTTTGGCCTTCACGAATGTAGGGATTGAAGCTACTTCCCAACCGGTTTGGATCGGTTTGCCCATAGATATCTGGCGTATAGCTTCTGGGCTGAGTAGTGAGCGACTGGTCACGTTCAGTAACACCGAGTTGAGGACCACGTTCCCCTCCAGATTGTGAGTAAACACCGTAAGAGGTTCCTTCACTCCCCGTCTTTGATGCACTTTGGGAAGGCGTCGGCGAGTCATATCTACTAGTAGCTGGAGATGTTTTATCATCTCCGCGATAGTGAGGTCTTCCATGTGATCCGGATTGTCCATGAGGGCGCGTTCGATCACCCGCTAGGACACCTCCCCCTCCACCAGACCCAGTAACAGATGTTCCGCTCGTTGTGCTTGTAATCGTACCTCGTCGGTCATATGGCCTTCCTTGTTCCGGACGATCAAAGTTCTCACTACCTCCATGTAAGTCATATTCACTATTAGGCTGCTGACCCTCTTGTTCATTCGTTACTTCAGAAGTACCGTCAACAGGATGATTTCCCCTATACCTTTCGTCGTAGTTTTGTCTAGAAACTGCATACGTTTCAGCCTCTACGCCTCCAAAGCCATCGCCATCCCCAGAGTCAATTCTACGGTCATCGGCTCCGAATGCTGCCTCATACTGACTTTGACTATCTAGACCACCTAGACCTTGTTGATGTTCACTAGCGCTGCTAGTTTGACCATCACCTCTCTTTTCAGGCAATGATAAACCATAACCGTACTCATTTCCCTCACCACTGCCCTCTTCACTGGGAGCGGAGCTTCCGTACGGTCTTCCTCGTGTCCTAGAGTCTTCTGGAAGGAAATCGTCTTCCAGCTCCGAGCCACTTCCAGCGTTGTCAGTTTCTGCTTGATGAACTCCATCTACTCCGCCTCGTGGTCGGTCTTTCTGCCCAGACCACCTACCGCTACCGCCAAGATGATGTCCACCGCTACCGCCAAGATGATGTCCACCGCTACCGCCAAGATGATGTCCACCGCTACCGCCAAGATGATGTCCACCGCTACTCGAATGCGAATCGGTTGGTAAAGACTGGATGACATTCGTAACCTCTTCCACAAAACCATTCAGTCCATCGGTGGATGATGATATTCCATCTGTCACAGCATCGAATCCGCTAGGATAAGCAGATGCAATAGATCGAAGATCACCTTGGTTGGATAGTTCTGTTGGAAATATTTTAATGTTAAAACAAAATTTTTAACTAGTAATGTACTAAAATAACTGCCTGCATATTGCTTTTGTGGAGGATGCAGAGAGGGGACAAACTAAGAAGACTAGTGCTTAGAAAGACATCCGTGCTGCTAGTATACTTACAGTGGGGGGAAATAAATATTCGTACACTTGAAAAATCGTATTTTAATGTATGTAAGTACATGTATAAAATACCAGTCAGCATCTGCAAATCATTGGTCGAGACGTATAGAAATAGACTGGTATCTGTTGATCTGAATAAAGGGTATTCAACCGAGTATTAAATTAAAATAATGCGGATTTATTGTTTTGTACGAATACTTGTTTCACCCGAAAAGTGAACATGTTGCATTGTTTTTTGTTGCATTGAGATTAAATTTCTTTTGATAGTATTTTTGAATACTATGCGCCTCTATACATAATTTAAATCACTTTTCCTGTTAAGTTTGTGTACTTACATACATTAAAATACGATTTTTTAAGTGTACGAATATTTATTTCCCCCCACTGTATAAACTAAATGAAGAAACATCTAGGGTATTCAGTTCATATAAATTTGACAATTTTGACTACTTGAAAATTTTTTTAATTATAAATATGAGATACAAACGCACATTACGAACAATCCATTCCACTACTGAGTACAAATACGAATACATCATGAGAATAAGACAGAAAGAGCAGGAATACCAGAAAAAATTAAGGAGGCATACACACCTCGAAGTCGGGGCAGTTCTCTCTCGAGGCGCGCCACTCTGTCATCGAGGAAGTTCAAGTTCTCCCTGAGCGCTGCGACGGCGCTGAAAAGATTCGTCATTGCCGAGCGAAGGTCGCCTCCGAACAAGTTCACGTCTGGAACATGTTGCTTTCATGTGAGTAAAATGAAGTATATGGCTTAATAAATTTAAAACTATTTCTCGCGCGAAAAAAAAACAGGCACATTCAACCATACAATAGAACTACTGATTCGGACCTGATGTACTCTTACATGGTTTGCTTACTCAAGTAAATAGCAGGTCTTGCACACAAGCGTTAGACATTCGTCGTAAGATGTTCTTGCCGAAATATTCGTCCTATGCTTCAGATAACAGAAGCGTTGAACACCCATGTATGAACTATCAGTGCACCAACATTAGCAAATTCCTATTGTAATTGATAAGCATCAGCAGGTGAGCAGGCGCGCGACCAGCTACACACGCACTGCTGCACCAACTTTCGGCAGCAGCAGCAGTCGCAAAACGCAGGATTTACTGCAGTAGTAAGTGACGTTCACTTGTATGGCAGGCAGTCATGTCGTTGAGCTCAATTGGCCATGCTGGTCAGATGTTGCTATACCCTGCCCTTGCTACTAGCCTTATCGCTCCTTGTTCTCTCTAACTGCTTTCTTCGCTGGCTCAAGTGGCATGTCATTTCCCGTTCACAATCTACACAAGGGCAGGATAAACTTGTCTGGTATTACTTCATTTCATTGTCAAACGAATTTACGTAATTGAAGTTTAAACGCGATTAACTAGTTGAAAATAAAATTAAAATCATCAATAAAAACATACTAAAACTAATTAGAATACCTAATTATATATCACGTCAGTTACCGAACAGTAAATACCAACAGAACTTGTTCAACGTTGTCTATAGGATTATTAATTTGTAATTAACTCATGTGCCGTTGAAAACACTCACCAGTAACGCTGCTTCCGAAGCCAGGCTCGCCTGAAAACAAAGATAAACAGCGATAAAGAAACTAATAATAATATTTTTATCGATGAAAAATTACTCGTTAGTATAAAAATTCATGAAACAACAGCTATAGAGATATACAAACGATATATATATATATATAATTTATGTCAATCAAGCTTTGGAGACATGATAGTAATTAGAGATTAATAGAGATTAACTTGATAGTTAACGGGAAGGCGTTAATGGAGTTGTGAGGTTCATGAATTAACCTGAAATATTCGAACTCATGCGTAGGATCAAATACTGAAGACATATCATAAAATAAGAAACTTGTAAAGATAGCCAAAGTTTGTACAGTTATTAGATTTTTGTACCAAAATTATAGTTTAATATTGTCAATACCACGAATAATTATAACGAATTTATATTCAGGTAAAGTTGCATTAAATTTAATAATAGAATTCCATACCTTTGGGTCCCGGGGGGCCAGGGGGGCCGGGTGGGCCCCTGGCTAAATGTCGCGGTAAGCCAACATCTTGCAAACTCGTCCCGGTCGCCGCTGTTCGAAACATCGGCATTATGCACTTAATTCATCGCAAAATAAGAAAACAAACACTCTCAGATCAATTTGTTAAAGTAGTAGGTACTCAGTTAAACATAGTTTCATTTCAATAAAAATATGTACGCTCCACTCAATACATCACGCTCCATCCAATACTTTAAAGCTCTGCCCAATACATTATGATCTGCCCAATACATTATGCTCTGCCCAATACATGATGTTCTGCCCAATACATTTTGCTCTGCCCAATACATGATGCTCTGCTCAATACATTCAGCTCTGCCCAATAAATTATGCTCTGCCCAATACATGATGTTCTGCCCAATACATTCAGCTCTGCCCAATAAATTGGGCTCTGCCCAATAAATTGGGCTCTGCCCAATAAATTATGCTCTGCCCGATACATTATGAAATACCCAATATATCGCGCTCTAACCATCTCTGGATTGAACGCGTCATTTGTTGAATACACAAAGCGTATAGTGTGGACTCCAGATACGTAATGACGAGCTTGGTGAGCAATGACGTACGTGACACGTAATGACGCACTTTCTTCAGAATAATTACATCGTATATACAAACACTCACAGCTGCTGAGGTCCAAGGTTTCTAGTTGGTTTGGTCGATATCTGCCGCCGGTCCCCGGTGGTCCCACTGGACCACGGTCCCCTTTAAGACCTCGCGGTCCTACAGGACCGATGGCCCCAGGGAGGCCACGATCACCAGGGGGACCACTGAGCCCCGGCACCCCAGGCTCCCCCTGGGATGATGAAATTATATCAAGTTGAAAATTTATCACAATTTAGCGGTTAATTATACGGTTACTTTTGCAGCACTTCGAAAGATTCGGGCCAAATTCAAAACTATTATTAACTAAAAATTTTTACCCGTAGTTAGGTTATTGGAAAATACACATTTTATTCATGATCAAAGCCTCATTATTATTTTCGATGCCTCATTATACTGAAGGTTCTTCAATTGATAACATCAACGCAAATTAATAGATCAAAGGCAGATCACCCAGTGAATAGAGAAAGGTTGAAATGAATAATTTTCAAGAGAAATAAAAACAAAATTTTATAACAAACAAAAATTTGTAATTTACAAAAATTAAAAAAAATATTCCATTTCTCCTTCAGTTCAATTGCCGCCACTAACTTTCTCTCCAGGAAAGCCTGGTCGTCCCGGAATTCCAGACCCAGCTGGCCCAGCTGGACCCGGTGGCCCAGGCGAGCCCGGAGAGCCATCGAGTCCCCTTTCCCCTCTCGGGCCCACTGGCCCGGTGGCACCATTGATGCCAGGGACACCGTCGCGTCCGCTGGGCCCCGCGGGACCACGAGGCCCGGGCTCGCCAGGCGGGCCCGCCGGACCCATTATACCGGGAATGCCAGGCGGGCCGACGATGTAGCGAGGTTGAGGAACATCTGGTGAAAATAATTTTTTTTATTCGTATTAATTTATTTTATTCTCACCCAGTGTGAGTGGAAGAGTTCTGAAGTTATTTTTGGATGAAGAGCACGAAGCTTCACTCTAACACATGTAATTGAAATAACGAAGGCCTCAACACCGAAATTTTCCTTATTTAAATATCACTATAATAATATAATAACAACATTCTAAAATATTAAAACAAATCATTGAATTCTCGGGATTATCATCTTTTAAATTACCATGAATAGGCGATAAGTGAGATTAGAATCTATGCATGTCCCTGACCTCCCGAGCCCTCAGTGGACCCGCCGTCCCGACCATCCCGTCCCGGTGGCCCGGGAGGGCCAGGGGGGCCCGGTGGGCACACGCAGCGAGAGGGGCCAAACTCCGGGCGCGGACTTGGACCCGCGAACTCGGTCTAAAAAATATGCAAAGAAGATTTCTATACGAAAAAAAAACACCATTACAATATCATACAAAAATTGAGAATATTTTAGAATACGCAGAGAGTTTATTGGAAACAAATAATGTGAATAACGAATAAAATATGGAGAATATCGAACAAAATATGAATAACATCATAGAATATTTGAGTGTAGACATCAAACACTCTCAATCTAAAAAAACAATGACTTCTATTATTTTATTTTTTATATATTTAAACATTATTAAAAACATTCTATTTCAAACGCAATAACGAAATCGATCATATCCTCTCGAGAAACGTACGTTAGTTCCGTCACCGTTGGCACCAAAACCATACACTGGGTTCGTTCCAGGAGGTCTTCGCCGCCTAGTGCTGTTTGGCCGTAGGCCGTGAGGCCTCCCGTTACGATTGCGAAAAACAGTTCCACGGGCCCCAAGAACACCGCTGTGGCCGTTTAATGGGTGCCCATTTACGTGCGACACGTCAGGACGCCCCATTTTAATGGGCTTGAAGTCTTGTAAAGCGTCATCGTCATCGTCGAAAAGGACTTCGTTGTTAGCGTCATCGGCGGCAGCGAGCGCTCGGGAGCGTAGCACGCGAGCCTCCAGCAGACGCAGGCGGCTCTCCAGGGCAGCAATTTGTGTGCAATTGAAGCAAGCTGTGAGGCAACATGTGGTATAAATTGCTCATCAAATCGCAAAAATATTTATTAATATTAAAAAATAGAATAATGCTATATTGTTGCAGGAATAAACGCAGAAAAATTTTCGATTTGTGGGTAAAAGAAATGTCGTGGCATTGAAATATGGCGAGGATAAATCAAAACCAACATGATTGATTGAATGGCCAGTAATGACCATTTGAATGCTGTTTCATTATTGGCATCTTTTATTTGGGTAATTCACTAGCGTATATTTCACAGTTGTGTCCATATCACTCACTTGTGTCACAGTTGTCCCCATAGAAGCCGGGGCAGCAAGCGTAGTTAGTTTCTTTAACTTCCTTGTACGATGTCACAAGGCGAGGCCGCTCCATTGTCCTTCAGGGAGGTAAATTGAAATTTTTTTATCAATTAATATTTTGAAGAAGAATTGAGAATTCATTGCTCCACTTGAATTTACGATGCCATTTAAAGCTGCAAAGATGATATTAGATTTTCTTCGTGATGATTTTAGGGTACAGTGAGAATTTGAAAAACAAATAACAATGAGATAATGTCATCATGCACGTTACCTGCAAAATAAACTAAAACTAATGACCAAAACACCCTGAAGTATTAAGCGAGCACCATTAGTCTCATTGGTCATATCAAATTTCATATTTAAAGTTTCAAATTATAATTAGGATTACACGTTTCGATACATCTTCTGGTTTATGGATTGATCTGAGGAGTCTCATGGTGGGAAATACTCATTTAAGTTGGCTCACATGGTTTGAAAAGTTCCCCCGACCGCCACGCGAGTTTGGTAAGTTTCTGTTCCGTTTGGAACGAGGCATGACACGGTCTTCACAACAGAGTAGGGGCAGAAGTTCCTGTTGAAATGAGAAAGAAATTAGTTACTGACCTAGAATAAACAACAAACGAAAATTAAAACAAAATATTTATTTTCCTTGACGTGCAACGATTTCATTCGACGAGATGCGTATTAATCGTCGATTGGTGGGCATTTTATAAATTAAAATTGATGGCTGTGGAATGCAGCCTGTCACAATTATTCATGCGCCGCAACCTGTTCAATCCGTGCATCAGATTTACTATCACAAATTCGCACGGAGAAAAGCCACAAGAATTGGAAGCTACAATTAAGAAGTCAAGATGGTTGTAAACAGATGAATTCGACCACTATAATGCTCAATATTAATAGAATAGTGATAGTTCCAACCACAACGAAATTTTTGATGCTTATTCATCGCGAGATAATTAATGGCAAAATGTGCAGAAACATCTCCAGAAAATTACATTCTTATATCAGCACGAATAGTAGTTCCCAGTTGATGAAAGTTGTTGACGTATACGAATTACGCATACGAGTTAGACCGTTCCTCTGCACGAATGCAGAGTTTATGCTGTACAAATTGGCAAATTGCGACGAGAAATTCCACAAGGCTCGTGCATAATTTGCGTTTGGCGTGGATACTTCAGTGGAGAAAGATGCTCAACACACACGACTATGCGAGCAACGGACGGGGCGTTGGTGTCGAGAAAAATCATATCAACTGCATGTTGTTCCATTGCTACCACTTATCTTAAATTTTCATTCATCTTAAAAGCATTCAACGTAGAAAGTTTTGATAAAATTTTCAGAATATGCTTAAAAGTCATTGAAATGACAAGGGGAAACTGTGACTGGTTACCAGAACAAGATAAAAGAGTAACGAAAGCATTCGCGTAAATCACGTACGTTTAAAAATCTCCCTTCGCGGCTTGCCCATCGCTCATCTCTTTAACAACCTGGTCTTTGCTCTCTCGATAAGCAATTAGCTTTACTCACGCGCATATCACTCAGAGCTGCTTCATCCATCACTGTGGACAAGCCACAGCACAGCGTGGCTCCCTCCAAACATCATGCACATACTCGACATACGCATGAAAGCCTTGCAATCGATTGGACCCACCGCCTCGAAAGTCGGGAAGCATCCACGAATTTAGTTCATGGATTGTAAGACCGCAAGAAATATGCAATGGGTTAAATTGAAACTACTAACGTAAATTAGATTAACCAATTATTAAACGTATCAACAACCAAACATGACCTAACACCGTCTAACAGGCTTTATGCCCAGTACATCAAACCCTAAATGGACTCGCAATGACAAATATCAATGGTCCTATTCTATTGCAGATGCTTTGACAGCTGGCGCAAATATGATTTTATTGACCCATGACCAGAACATATCAACATAAAGCAAACTACCAATGCAATGCTTAACTACTCAACAAAAAACTCTGCTGAATTTAATAAATAAGTTTTGCAAGATTATTATGCTGGGCATCCCAGACTGAATCATAAGGCTGAACAGTGTCGTCTCCCTATGTTAGCAAGTGAATCATATACACAGAGCTGGGCAGCGCTACTTGGAAATGTAGCGGCGCTACCGCTACCGCTACATGCTCTAAATGTAGCGGGCGCTACCGCTACTGGGAAAGCTTGGGCTACAATATCAAGACTTTTTGGGCAAATTCTTCTGTTTTCAATGAATTCTCTGAACAATTGAAAAATCCAAAAAACGCCATCTTAAAAAAATTATAACTCAACAGTTTTCAAGCAACGGCAATGAGAGACATACCATTCGATTTGTAAAAACGATACCTAGCGACTCCAGAAGCCTTTTTTTAATATATGCATGATTTGACTTATATATGGGAGGGGGAGGAAGGTGGGGGGTATAAATGTGAAAAAATGGGAAGAACGCGAAAAAAACGACGAGGAAAATAAAAAATCGGGGCTTTACAGTCGCTAGATATTGTTGTTACAAATCGAATGATATATGTGTCTCGACATTGTAGCATGTGATTTGCAAAAGTTATAAACTTTTTTAGAGCACCCCTTATTTGCCGTTTTATATTAATTCCACGTTTTCTTTCATTTTTTTAAATTTACATGAACAAAAAGGTCTTAGATTTCTGTTTTACATATGTCTACCAAGTTTCAAAACGATCTGTCTGTTAATAAAAAAGTTTTGTTGGAGGGTAGCCGGCCCCCTTAAGTAAAATCTAAAGGCTTTATCTATAAATGTAGCGGTAGCGCTGTAGCGGCAAAACCTCGTATCGCTACTTAATTATGTAGCGGGCGCTACCGCTACATTGCCTTAAATGTAGAGTCGCTACCGCTACCGCTACTGAAAATGTAGCGGCCGCTACATGTAGCGCGCTACTGCCCACCTCTGCATATACACCACAGAATAAAACGACTGCCATCAAAAATAGATAAATTCTTGAAGCGTTAGCATGTACATCTGAGATCAACTAATCTCCATTTGCTTAGCCGTCGCTCTCGCGTCATGTTAGAAGAGCATTAGTAAGATTTAAGACACGCGTATGGGATCAAACTCACAAATCGCGGACCTCGCTAGACCTCTCATGGGACCCCCCGCACCTCACAGCATCAACACCTCACAACTGATCGTCGCCAAGCGTTGAGTAGACGGAGTTGTTTTCCGGGAGAATTTTAATGTCTTAGTTAGGACAAATGTAATGAGATTCAATATATTTTGTTGTTACTCGAAAGGTATACAGACGGTAAGAGTCGAGTAAATTAGGCTGAAGCTCAAAGCAAAGCTCAAAATTCATCAATATCGCACATGCGAACTGGAATTCACGTCGTCTTAACAGTTGGGCTTCCTTCAAGTCTCACGAGGCTGAAACAAGAACTCTAATTCTAGACTGGCTCCGGCCGGCAGGGTGCATTACGATTATTTTGCATTAATAAATGAAATTTTCAGCATGGAGGCAAAACGCCAAAAACCACACGCGCAAGCAACCCAGTTAATAGCCATGCGTCCGAATTTTTCCGGTTGTTTGCCTTGTCCAATTTTTGCTCAAAATCGTATATTATGAAATTGTTTCAGAAATACATTGCATCATGGCCTAAGTGGTCATTAATGAACCATAAAGAAAAATAATAACAATTCTTGCACTAACAGTTAGGAGAATTATTGAGTAAACGATGGGCACGATCATAACCACTACACTTTCTCTGAACTTAAAAATACGCTGGACTTCTCTTCCTCCAAAGCAGTCGGTTCTCAACCAACTTTTATAAGAATGTGAAGGCAGGATAAATGGCGTCAAGAAAACCGTATCAAATGATGATTAAACGCGCACTGCTTTATTCTCTTCAACCTGGTTCACCTCGTCGCACGAGCGACGAGAACTACAGAAGACGGAGCCGATTGAGAAAACTCGTGCGTTTGCCGTAATGAGTGTAGGATGAAACGAAATAACGTGGTGCAATTAGCTACGAATACAAATGACAATGCACGAATAGATTTTCATTGAGTAAGTAAATTTTTCTTCGAATGCTGTCGAAATTAGGAGAGATGCAGGCGCTCACACGATGTATACATACATGGTCAAGTCATATAGTACAAGTCAGGCGAATTATATAGCACGCGCTAACATGATGAGCACATCATTGTCAGGTCAGGCGAATTATATAGCACGCGCTAACATGATGAGCACATCATTGTCAGGTCAGGCGAATTATACTGACCATAAGAGTAGCACATCCTCGCATTCTGGTACACCAAAATATCGGTGCATGGGAAGAATCTTCACCCAACATGTACATGGGGAGATAGAGCGCAATGGCTGCGCTGTATAGGAGCAGCCAAAAGGAGACGACTAATCTTATATGGGTCTGTATAGATGCTTGCAGACAACCCACTCAAGATAACACAAAGTGCTGCTGTACTTATAGAGAACCACTGTGTGAAAGCATGTACTTGTTTTGAATTTTTTTTCTTACTTTTGAAGTTAATCAATGTAGTAATTGAATAGTACAGAAATATAATTTTTTTGTAATATTTTAATATATATCAGTGACTGCTAGTGACTTTTAGTAACAACACAGGATATATGAAAAATTTCAGTAGTTTATTACTCAAGACCCAGATTTATCAGTAACGAAATAAATGATGCAACAGAAAATATTTGCATAACTCCATTATTAGCAAAGATGGTTGTCGAAGTACAGACTAACAGCTACTTTACCATTACTAATAAATTAACATCTTTACAAAAAATTCATGTCACGAACAGTACTTATGAGATCTTTCTCTCAAAAGGATCACCAGGTCGTCCGTACAAGTGCCCACTAACGCCTTTAAGAAGGTGAGTCTTTCGGACCGCGATTTCCTTATCGAGAGAAACGAGACGACTTCCAACGCCATGCTGATCGCGTATCTAGAATAGCGCGTGAAAATGAACAGCCTCGTATGTTGCAGCACGAGTATCTTAACTAGCCATCCTAAGAGGCTGTCTATATGTGGGGAAGCTCCATGGAATCAGACGCATTAAATTGCGAAGCTGCTCCATGGTCAACCCAACTCCCTACTAATGACATAAATATCTTTAAAATCAATGAAGTGATATCACGATCGAACGCCAAGTTTAGAAATGCTTCCTTTGTTCTCAGCTTCATATTTTCACTGAGCAAGCAATAAATATATTTTACTCTGGCATGAAAGTTGAATAAAAACATTGTGTTAAGAATGACTGCCAAGTTCTGCTGGAAAGAAATCTTCGAACTAAAAACAAGCAGATCTCCCAATTTTAGAATGTTATTTCCATTTTGACTTCAGGAATATTTATGCCAAATTTGAATAGCTCGTCTATCTTTTTATTTATTTATATGCATTGCACGTCATCACTCCTTCTGAGGTGCTCACTCAGACCCTCTTGAACACTTGGCATTAGACGAGGCCAAAGCTGACTCCATATTCAGAGGACCATTTTCAGGAAGAATAGCGAAATTAATCGAGCAGTAGAGCTTTAACAAAGAGATTTCATACCACAGCAGCCAAAGAGGACA